CTGAAAACTGTCTGTTCATATTCTTTGACCATTTATCAGTTGGGGAATTACTTGTACCTTTATAAATTTGCTAAGTTCTCTATATATTTGAGAAATTAGGCCTTTATCAGAGAAACTTGCTGTAAATTCCCCCCACACACACATACACACACCCTAAGTTTGATGCTTTTCTTATAATCTAAACTGCATTGGTTTTGTTTGTGCAAAATCTTTTAAATTTCATGTAATCAAAATTATCCATTTTATATCCTGCAATGCTCATTATCTCTTGTTTCATCATGAGTTCTTCTCTTATCCATATATTGCACAATAAACTATTCCATGCTCTCCTAGTTTGCTTATGGTACCATCTTTTATGTGTAAATCATGTACCCATTGTAAATTTATCTTGTTGTATCGTGTGAGATGTTGGTCTATATATGATTTCTGCCAAACTGCTTTCCAGTTTTCCCAGCAATTTTTGTCAGATACTGAGCTCTTGGTCCCAGAAGCTTGGATCTTTGGGTTTATCAAACACTAGATTACTATGGTCATTTATTACTGTATATTGTGTACCTAATCTGTTCCACTGATCTACCACTATTTCTTAGCCGTACCAGATTGTTTTGATGATTACCAATCTGGTCCTGTTACTTCCTTCACATTTTTTTCATTAATTCCCTTGCTATTCTTGAACTTTTGTTCCTCCAGATGAATTTTGTTACTATTTTTTTCTAATTCCAGAAAATAATTTTTTGGTAGTTTGATTAGTATGATACTAAATAAGTAAATTAATTTAGATAGAGCTGTAATGTTTATTATATTGACTCAGCGTGTTATTGTTTCTTGATGTCTCATGGAGATATCAGCTTCTATTTGCCCAATTCTAATTTGTAAAGAATTATTTTCTCCAGTGAGGTTTTGAGTCTCCATTTCCATTTGGTCAGTTCTGCTTTTTAAGCAGTTCTCTTCAGTGAATTTTTGTACATCTTTTTCCCATTAGCCACTTATGCTCTTTAGAATTCTTCTCTTCAGTGAATTTTTCTGCCTCTCTTATAATTTGGTCTATTCTGGTTTTTAAGGTATTACTTTCTTAAGTATTTTTTGTGCTTTTACCAAGCTCTTGACTGTTGTTGGTTTTTTCTTCATGATTTTCTTCCATCACTTTCATTTCTTTACCCAGTTTCCCCCCTAACTCTGTTATTTGATTTTTGAAATCCTTTTTGAGCTCTTGTAGGAATTCTTTTTCATCCTGAGACCAATTCACATTTTTCTTTGAAGCTTTGGATGTAGCTCTTTTAACATTGTTTTCTTCTGAGTTTTTTTAATCTCTCCTGTCACTGTAGTAACTTTCTCTTGTAAGGTTCTTTTTTTTGTTGTTGTTTACTTACTTTTCTATCTGTTTCATTGACTTTTAATTTTATGTTGAAATTGGGCTGTGCTCCTGGGGTAGAGGGGGCCTCAGATTTTTCCTTCTGCTGTTTTCAAAGCTAGTTCTAGGTGTCTGTTAGTTTTCAGTTCTTCCAAGGTGGCATGATTTAAGGAGAGGGGTGGTCACTGTTCTGGCCTATGGTCTGGTCTGTGAGCAACCTACAAGTACTCTTTTTTTCTACCCTGGAACTATTACTTGCATCTCTCCTCCTCCTAGTGTTCCTCTCTGTTCTGGGACTGAAACATAAAACCATGTATGAGCAGTGCAACAGAGTCCTGCCCCTGGGGCCAGCAAAAGGTCCCTGTAATCACTTTCTGACCAGTTGTCCCTCTGCTCCAGAAACCACTGTCTCTACCTATGCAGTCACTCCCAACACCTGCTGCTGGCTTTCTTGGTCACAGCCTGCACTGTACTGAGCTCCACTCTCACCCGAGTGAGACATGTCCTTCCTGTCAACCTTCTGAGTTGTCTAGGACTGGAAATTTCTTTCACCTCTTCCTTTTGTTGGTTCTACCACTCCAGGATTCATTTCGAGGCATTATTTCAATGTTATTTGAAAGGGAATTTGGGAGAGCTCAGGTGAATCCCTGCCTTTACTCTGCTGTTTTGGCTCCTTCCACTCTTGGCCATCTTTACCACAATGCTAAAGAATAACAGCATATGAAGGTTTAAAGCAACGAGTAAATCAAAGTCCTCTGTAAGAACTAAGGTAATAGTCAGACATCAGTTCAAGTGGAGGAAGCCGAGGATTTGTTAACATTCTCATTTGAGCTTTATAGTGTTTGTCTCAGGGAGGTACCCTCAATCAAAAGTATTAAGCATGTTATCTGAGGATATAAAGTCAAAGTTGAAGCAGGAGAAAAACTCAGTATATTGACTCCAAACTCAACACCTTTTTTCCTCTGCCATATCGCATCAATACTTAGGCTTTCCACAAAAGCTTTTATGACCACATAGGAACAATTATGACTCTTTCCTTTTTTAGCTCAGAATTTCAAAGTACAGTTATAAGTTTGATTAGTGATTCCTCTGTGAATGAAGATTCTGTATGACAAAGTCATATATAAAAAAATAAAAGGAAGAAAATCTTCATCAATTGTGTAAATCACTTACAGTATTCATCATATGACTGCATAGGACAAAAGTCTACCAAACTTCTCTTTGTCTTCATCTAGTTGAAAATAAATAGGAATAACTCCAGGCAAAATTAGTGTTTATCTACTATCTCCAGGTACCTTTTTGTACTTTTTCTTCCAAAGGCAACCCTTCCATCCTCCTAAAATAGAAAATAACATTATGCATAAGGCAGCTCTGAATTTCAATCTGATTTAAAACTTTTAGAATAATTAGAATTGATGTAAGAACAAATGGTTCATTATCTTCTTCCAAACTTGCTTAGCTTCAGCATTTTGAGGTATATTTTAGTAATCTTTTAGGCGCAGAGATTCATGTGCTTACCATGGCTTCTTCCAGGTAATGGATTCCACCCTGCCCTATTCCAGATCTTCCCAGGCAGTCCACCTCTTCTGTCCTTAATCCATCCCTTTTCTTACACAAGATACACAGTAATACAAGTATGTATGTATTGCTTATATGCATTTGTGTATGTGTTCTTCCAGATGTGCCAGTATTCTGTACAAACATGTAAATGTTTGTTTAATTGAATTTTTCATAGCAACCCTTCTCTCCTTTTTTGCTGTATTAGAATACATTCTTGTGTTTACAGTTTTATCTTTTTTTAATATCTAGTAACAGTGTTTCTGATATATATCATCAGAATACTGCTCTAATGAAGGCATCACTGTAAATGCATATGAAATTATGCTGTTATCACAAAGTGAGAAGTAAACTTAGTATATATTATCTGAAACCTCAGAGATATAAATTTTTTAGGCTCCTGTAATGCTATCCTTGTCACTGAGTAGCCAGCCTTGTCAGTGCAGAATTCTAAATAGTAGCAGGAATGAGGTTACCACAGTGTGTCTTTTGCTGTACTATTAAGGGTTTTTTGTTTTTGTTTTTCTTTTTTTTTGAGACAGAAAAAGACCAGGAACATTTGAGATTTGTGTAATAGATTGGATACCTTCTAATTGAACCAGTTTTTACTGTCACTTTGATTATGATCATATGAAGAATAAAAAAATTACTAATTAAATTCAACATTGTCATGTAGCAATGAAATTTAAGCATATCATTTTAAAATAATAAAGTGTTACATAAGTTTGTTAGGTGTTTACTATTCATGTCTAAGCTCAGTATAACTAGGAAGAGGCTTCTTTTCCATTGTTACAATTCAGAAATCACAAGCTCCAGCCTACATCACTGATGATTTCATTACCAGTAATGTAGGCAGATTCATCAGAGGCCAAGTATACACACAACAGGGCTACTTCTTCCTCAGTTGCCATTCTTCCTGTCTTCTCTCTCTTTAAGAAATCATCCATTGCCTTTTTGGGGTCTGGGCTAGCCTAGATTCTGACATGCAGGGAAGGTCTATCAACAGTTCCTGGACACACACAGTTGCACCTGATACCCTGGTGGATGAAATCTACAGCCACGGATTTTGTGAGTTGAATCACCACTGTTTTGGACGTACTGTATATGCATCTGTTGACACCTTCTTTGAGGCTGGAAGACACAGAAGACATGTTGATAATGGTGCCAGATTTCTGGGCAAGCATTTTGGGAATAAATGCTTTAATCATCAAGAACATGCTTCAGACATTCAGATTCATGGTAAAGTCCCAGTCTTTCTCCTCACGTTCCAGGATGTTTCCATGATGGATGAACCCAGCAACGTTATAAAGATCATCAATTTCCTTGGAGAACTTCTCAGTTTGTTTCTTTTTTGTCACATTAAGCGCTCGAGTTCGAATGCCCGGATGCTCATTTAGCTCTTGAAGTTTGGATTTATTGATATCTGTTGCTATGATTTGGGCCCTTCTTTGGCAAAGGCTAAGGCAGCTGCCCAACCGATTCTCTGAGCAGCTGCAGTCAGAACGATGATCTTGCCATCAAGTTGACCCATGATGCAGTCTGCAGGATAATCCGCCCCTGCTTCTTAGGTTTTTCCCCCAAAGCTCTTTTAACTACAACAATATAAGGGCCAGTGTTTTTTCACCGGGAGCAAGGATTTTTTTCCTGTTAATAGTGAAACAGTATGATTTTGGGACAACTAAAAGTGGAAACTACAATTCCTAGTAGCATCAATAATTTTCATTTCCTAAGTCCAGCATCTTAACATATTCACCAAAAGCTCTGAACTAAAATAAAACCCTTTTACTAAGAAGTTCTTTCAGATTTTTCAATTTATAGGAGAATAAAGTATGTTGTAAAACTTGATTCTGTAACATTTTTCTTTAATCCCTAGTTTTATAAGTGAAAAGATAGCCAGATTTCTTTTATTTGTTCATTATTGTTCAAGGCATGTCATTTTCAAGTATAGTTTAGAAAGGTTGTATTGTTGACAGCAAGTATCATAAGACTAGGCTATTTGTAGTGCTTGCTGTTTTCTGAATCAACATTTTACAGTGCATCATGATTTGTTAGTTTCCCTTTTCTAATATTCTTCCATGTCTCTTTTTTTCAGAACAGAGAGCTCCAGATCATGAGAAAGCTAGATCATTGTAACATAGTCCGATTGCGTTATTTCTTCTACTCCAGTGGAGAGAAGGTAGGTATGATTGTAATGCATGCAGAAAATGTAAATAGAGAGAAATATGTCCTTTAAGAATCATTAACTCAGAGTAAGACATATTATAATATGGTGGTGCTAATCATAATAAAACCATTTTACTTTTTAATAAAACTTTATAGGTTATGATGCTTTTAGATTATTTTTTCTTTTATCCTTATGACATCTCTGTGCTGGATTATCTACATTTTATTGATGAGCAAATGGAGGCATCCACAATTGTGGATCTGGCCCTTGAGCCTAGACTTTTGAAATCCAAATCCAGTTTGTTTTCTGTGATACTATCCTGCCTCTCTCTGATATGAAATGAGAAATTGAGAAAATATGACAAACTCCTAAGTTTCTCGCTTTTCTCTTTTTATTTCCTCTCTGATTTAAAGGATTAAAGGAAGTTTTTATTGTCTGTTGTTAATGTATTATAGAATATATTATATATTACTTTGTCCATATTGATTCACATAGTAGTCTATTATTAGTATTTTTTGTGAAGGGTAAGATCTTGTCACATTGAAAAGGAGGGGATTTTAAGCAGAAAGAAAAATATGAACTGAGACTATTGCAGAGTATTCCTTTGTTCCTCACCATCTGAAAGGATGGTAGTGTAGAAAAGTATAAGTAAGCACAAAGAGGTGAGGGGGGAGGAATTTTGCAAGAGGCAAAAATTATTTCCTGAGACATCCATATGAGACATCTGTCCATTTTTGACAGTTCTTAACCAAGATCATCCTTTCCAAATTGTTACACTTGGCCACTGTATTTGTTAATATTTACTTTCGGGGGGGAAAATAGCTTTGATTAAATGGATACAACATATACATGTCCAATTTATATTTTGACAGTTTTGATATATGCATTGCTCCTACCAAGCTTCGGAAAAGTGGTGTCATTCCCTGAGTGCAAGTAACTTGTTTAACTTCTATTTTAAAAAGTAGTGAGGTAGTTTGAAAACCTTTCTTCAAAGAGGAAACAAAGTTACTGCTTTTGTAAATAAGGTCATAGTCCACTTAGAGTACCCTAGAGAGTCAACCAAAAAATTAATTGAAAGAATTAACAACTTCAGCAGAGTTGCAGGATGTAAAATAGACTCTCCTAAATCATCAGCTTTTCTGTACATTAACAGCAAAATCCAAAGGTAGAGAAATGCTTTTTTTAAATAACTACCAAAAGTATAAAACACTTGGGAGTCTGCTTGTCAGGACACACACAGGAATTACATGACTATAACTACAAAACACTTTTTACACAAATAGAGATCTCATTAATTGGTAAAATATTAATTGTTCATGAGTTATCTGAGCCAATATAATAAAAATGGCAATACTAAGTTAATTAACTTACTCAATGCCATAAACATCAAATTACCAAGGATTACTTTATAAAAGTAGGGGGGAAAATGGCCCAATTCACGTGGAAGTATAATAGGTCAAAGATCCCATGGAAAATAATGGGAAAAAAAAATGGGAAGGAAGGGAGCCTCACAGTACCAGACCTCACACTATACTACAAATCAATATCAAAACATTCTGGTACTGGTTAAGAAATAAAGAGGTTGATCTTGGCATCTATGTGGCACAATGGATAGAGAACTTAACCTGGAGTCAGGAAGACCTGAGTTCATATACAGCCTCAAAGACTAGTTCTTTGACCTTTGACAAGTCATTTCACCTTTACCTGAGTCTCCTTAACTGTAAAATGAGGATAATAATAGTGCTTACCTGTGTATTGAAGCTCATGAGATAATATTTATAAAGCACTTAGCACAGTGCTTAGCAAATAGTAAGCATTATATAAATGGTACTGGTGATGATGATGATTGGAATAGATTAGGTATATAATATACAGACAAAAATGAATTTAGTAGCCTAGTGTTTAATAAGCCCAAAGATCCCAGCTATTGCAGTTAGAACTTAGGTATTTAACAAAAGCTGTTAAGAATAACATCATAAACAGAGTAGCAAAGAAGAAATTACCTTCAGATCTATGGACAGAGGAAGAATTCATGGCCAAACAAGAAGTAAAGAAAATCACAAATGATAAAATGGACCATTTTTATAATATAAAATTTTAAGATGTTTTTGCACAGATATGCAGCTAAAATTAGGAGAGAAGCAAGTAGATGGGGGAAAGAATCTTTGCAGCAAAGTTCTTTGATAAAGTTTCATGATCTATAAGGACTTGATGATTTATATTTATAACACTAAGAGCCATCCCCAAATTGATACATCTTCATAGCATATAAAAAGTTTTTAGAAAAAGAAATCCAAGCTACCAATAGACATGTGAAAAAAAATGCTCTAAATCCCCAATAATTAAAGAAATGCAAAACTCTTGATGTACCACTTCACACCCCTAACTAAGATTGGCAAAGTCAATAAAAATGGAAAATGACAAATAATGGAGAGGTTGTGGGAAAACAGGTACATTAATGCACTCTTGGTAGAGCTATAAACTGGTATAGTCATTTTGGAACTATGCCCAGAAAGCTATTAATCTATGCATAACCTTTGACCTAGCAATACCACTACTATGTCTATACTTCAAGAGCTCAGACAAAGAGGAAAAGGACCCATATGTGCAAAAACTTTTATAACAGTCCTTTTGCAGTGGCAGAGAATTAGAAAATGAAGAGGTAGCCATCAGCAAGTTATGGCATGCGAATGTGATGGACCAATCATAGAGTACCAACAGTATTGTAAAGATAACCAACTTTGAAAGTCTTCAGTACTCTGATCAATAAAATGACTAACCACAATTCCAGAGGACTCACCATGATTTAAATATGCCACCTCCCCCCAAATAGCAAGGGGATGGACTTAGCGTGTAGATAGAGTATTTTTTTTGGACATGGCCAGTGTGGGAATTTGTTTTGCTTGGGTGTGTGTATCTGTAACTCTCGTTTTGTTTTTCTTGTTTTCTTATTAGAGGAAGGAGTGGGTATGTAGTGGGAGGGATAGAAGGTTGATTGTCATTGATTAAATATTATAATTAATTTAAAAAACTTAGGATTCTTAGCTCTTAAAAAGCTAGAGTTGCTACCCTGGTCTTTAAGGTTTTATTCTTATTGTTGTTCTAATTCTTTTGCTCATACATTTGGTTGAATCAGAAATCGTCTACCTGAGATAGCTTACTCTTCTGCTCTTTTTGTTTGTTTAGTATATGGCAAATTGTTACACAAGATGGATAAAATGATTGGTTTTTATAACTGATATAACAGTATCAGAATGTGTAAACACATCTTCTCCAGGCCCAAGAACGGTATATTTTCAAGAGTTGCACTAGCAGGCAGGGTAAGAAGCATGATAATGTACTTTATCCTCTTATTACATGGTTTTGATATCTTATATACTTCGGTCTATATTTTTGAGAACTTTTCGTTCCACAAAGATTGGATGTAACTATTTGATACGACAAGATGTGTTAAAAAAAAAAAATCATTCTTAAAAATGTATGGGTTGGGGGGGGGCAGCTAGGTGGCACAGTGGATAGAGCGCTGGCCCTGGAGTCAGGAGGACCTGAGTTCAAATCCAGCCTCAGACACATAACAGTCACTAGTTATGTAACTTTGGGCTAGTCACTTAACCTCAGTTGCCTCACCAAAAAAAAAAAAATGTATGATAGGTCAGCGTTGTGACTGGGTGATTACTTTTGTGTATAATGATAATCTCATTACATTTGAGTTTACTGAATTTTTGAAGATATTTTGGGTTTCATATTTTGGGTATCTACAGGGATTTGTTGTTTATTTTTGAAGGATAGGGTGATAATGTGCTTCCACAGTGTATGATTTTGGTCGTTTGATCATGTCTTTCTGGGTATTTGTTAGGTGCTAAATTTTCTCAACCCATAGTCACATATATTACACAGTTGTTATAGTTGTCATTATCATAATCACCATCTGAATAATCAGGAACAAAATCAAATTAATGTGCAGAGAAGTAAAATCTTACATAAAACCCTTCGTATTCAGCACTGTTGAATCTAATGATGCACAATGGGCAAAAAAAAAAATCGCTTTGTTCTCACTGAGGATGGAAATGCCTAGGCTGGCTTGATTTTGGAGAAAAGGAAAAAAGTGATTTGAGTCAGATGCAGGAGGTATTTGCTGAAGTGCCGTGTGTACTAGTAGTAGTCTTTGGCACTTACTCTTCTTGCTGCTTAGTCTTTTTTGGTTGGTTTGTATAAGATTCTTTCTAAAGTAACCAGTGTTTCTTGCTTTTGTGGGGAATTTGGTTTGAGAAGGGCAGAGTTGAAATGAAGCCAAAACTAGTAAGACAGACTTCTGTAGTGTCAAACATATTAACAGTTCCCAAAGAAATAAGTAGTTTTAAGTATAGATTGCTATAGATGCAGATATTTCTTAGACTATCTCAAGTATAGGCCAGCACAGATCGTCTTGCACATGCAGATTTTATGTTTATTAAATTACAGTAAATACTTGCCGAATTAAAGATCCTTATCCTTTTGTTCAGAGATTTCTTAGCAATTGAGCAGACATTTTTAAAGCCATGACTACTTATTGATTGATTGGTTGACTCTCTGCAAGATGTTGGCTGTATAATATAATAACGTCCAACTGAGGTTAAACCACTAGCAGTATCAGTTCTTGGCACATCAGAAGGATGTTTGAACCTCGACGTGTTACAGTCGTGGACATTTAGAGTTAAAAGGGACTTGAGTCCATCTAGTCTAATATATAATAGAATCTTCTCTGCCCTGTCTTTGATAAGAGGTCATGCATCCTCTGCTTGAATAGCTCACTACTTCTTAGGCTGCCTCATTTCACTTCTATGTCATTCTCATTGTTAGTAAGTTTTTATTTACATCAAGCCAAAATCTGCCTCTTCAGTTTCCAGTCCAACTTTTTTTTGGTGCCACCCCGCCCCCCTTCTGATTCTTCTTCCCCTTGACAATCCTTTTAAATACATTATTTGATGAATTCTATCATGTCTGCCAATGGAAACTTCTCTTTTCCAGTTCTT